CGCCGCGATTTTTCCCTCGTATGTTTTAAAGCTAAAACTATCGGTCTAAGTTTTATAAATCTGATATATGACTTTACCGTAGATAGAGGGTGTAAGTTGAGGTAGACCTACCTGAAAGTAGTGAAGAGACGGCGTTTAGAGGCTGTGAACATATTGGATAAAGGATGATAGAAACTTGTTAACTGGCAGTTATTGACCTTCTATACCAGGCAAACTGCTTCAATACGACGACAGTTGTAAGAAAAAGTGATTAGAAACAGGTGGGTATACCAGCATCCGACCTCATATTCCATGAAAATGCAAGAATAATGCATCAGCCCTTTGAGCAGTGCGATGCAGGAATGTATTCTGGTAAATTGGCAGGCCGTAACTGTGCCTCTCAAATGCATGATTTAACTAATGGAGCGAGAAAGGTTATAGTGCTCCAACATCATAACTTCGGAGGCATTTGGTCTTATATGCTTGGACGAATTACGAACAGCTGCAGTAGGTGTAGCTGTTATTATATTTTCTGGTCGTCGGATAGCGCACCAATTTGTTATTATCCCTGTACAAAAATGAAACCAACACCCCAACGAAATATTTTTATCCTCCATTGGTTGAGATATTGTTTTCACATCTAAATGACACTTTTCCGTAAAGTTTAAATGTAAAAATTAAGTCCTCTTCTGTTATCAAATTTATTCCTTACCGTAACTAAGTATTTCTTCATTTTAGCAGCATTTTTATAGGGAAAAAAACAGTTTCAGGCAGTTACTGAAAATCTGGGTATTTCACAGTAGCAGGCCGATTCACAATTAATTAACAACAATGCAATGGTGTTTTGGAATACCATCAATGTCAATCAGTCCTTGTGAAAATGAGAACAACACGAACAAGCTACGTAAGTCTTCTGTCGACCACGGATACAACAAAATTTAAAGATGTCAAGCCGACTTCGAAATCAGCTGAATGTTCAGCCATGTTTTTGGTTTTATTTTCTGTCCAACGCCCCTAACCACTGTACCACGGGCTCGTTATCCTGTCGGTTACGATTGGGCAGCAGTCGTGATAATCATCTGAAATGTACTCTGCACGAATCATGAAATGTTCGCCGATTTCTGAAAACGCTGCACATATATGTTCATATCTGAAGTCGGTTATACAGAAAGAACACCTGCGTACATTTTGACATCAAACAAGTGGACAAATGCATCCAACATTCTGAGACGACGCTCTGATATTTTACGTATTTATAAATTATCAAAACCGCGTAGCATGCATACATTCTGCATAGTTGATGAATTGCTTCGCTTTTTGGCACGAAGAGACAATCTGACGTTCAGGAACATTAAGAGGTTGCACTGAGATATATACACACTCACTCGCATTTACGTGGACATTTGAGAGTACTAAACATTCCAGAGGCGGCAGATATCATGTTTTGACGGGGGACATAGGCCGATGCATGCGCCGCGAGTGACAAAACCGCAGGCAAGAACTGGACTGTTGGTGAAAGAGTTATTGTTGACTGCAGTGACAGCGTCATTAAGGTTCGTTTACTGTTGCATTTGCCTGAAAGATAGAGACCGAGATAGAGGGAGTTTAACATGAATTGACCAGAGTTTCTGACAAGATCATCATTGCTAGTGCATTGGAGTACTGCTTCAAAAGGGCAATAAAATTAGTCATCGTGACAAATAAGGTCAGACTTAGGAGGCATACGAATTTCGAGATGCAGTAATGACAACAACTCTAGATGAGCGAATAAGTGGGCCGTGTGGATGATGGAGGACCGAGCGCATGCAGCATGTAAAATGAACGGGTACTCGGATTTGGTAAATGAAGTGCTCGAAAAATAGAGTGATAATACTTCACAGGTGTGGATAATTATATTTAGTTACATATGTGTATGAGTGTTTAGTCGTACCTAGCAAATCGCGACTGCTCCTAAAGGTCCTTAACTTGCAAACAACTCTCGTCTGTGGTACCCGAATCGGGGCCCTACCACGGAGTCACACAACGGTGGCCACTTCGATCTGTTGAGTTAAACCAGATTATGGTTATCCTGCGGTCTGTGGACCCATATCCAGCAGTTTTGTTTCCATCACTGTTCCCTCTTCGTTCTTCTCCCTTTACTCCCCTCCCCATCTGCTTCTCACTCCCATATCCCCCATCCCCTACCCGATATCACTTAAAATGTCCCACGGCTAGTACGACATGCAATCCATTAGGCGACTCAGAATAACTCGGGGTGCTCTCAACTAACCAAAGCCGTAACACAGGTGGCCATGCACATACTGGGCACAAATTTGAATGGGGGAACACTCGCGTCGTTGGTGCCTACCCGATAAGGAAGGGCCGAGAATTCCTAGAGGCAATGCACTCAGATGAGGCATGCATCAACCGGCATATCGATCTGGATGCCACATACAGACAGATTTAACCTGACTGAACAAATCCCGATCATAGGATCCTTTGCCAGACTCGGTTTAGAAATTATTTGTTTTTGCCCGCCAGTTGACTACAGACGAGCTGGGTAACCAGTCTCGAAAAGTTACACAATACGGTTTACTGTTTCCCAAAGAATTTCATCTTCCTAATAGAATCACTTGGGATGTCTGTTTTCCAGTTCGGTATCTGTGTGGAATGTCCGAGTTGCCGTATTTAGAGATATCAATAAATACCAACACGCTGGAAAATGTACTCTAAGCAATTGCCAGGATCAAGTCATCTACACGCGAATCGTGGCTTGAAGATACAGAAACCACGACCGAAAAACAAAATATAGCACTGATAACCACTTCTAAGTCTACCAAAGTTGTAACACTCCAGTAATCATTACTACGTGGTGGGTTAAACAAGATGAAACTTATCCTCTGATGTATAGCGCGCATTTAGCAGCCATGTTCCCATCATATTCCCTTTTCTTCCTTATCCCTTGTTTCCTCTCATCCACTTCCCTTCATTTTCTCACCGCCATTCCCCCCTCCCCCTCCTTCCCAATTTCACTCAAGACGTCTCACGTTAAGGGCAGCATGTAATCCAAAAGGCGACTCAGATGAGCTCGAGTTGATCTCAACTATTAAAGCCTTGACACATAATGTATTTCGATTGCTCTCTGGGACTCCTCAGAAGCCATAGTCAGGGATATCAATAACCACTCACTCGAGGGAGTGTGGCTGGAAAATGCGTCCTAAAAAAACTGTTACGACCATGTCATCTGCTCTCAGACGGTGGCTCGTAGCTACGAAGTGTCGATTGGGAAAACAAAAGGAAACAACGTCATCCCACTCTCCGAGGTACCAAACAGGCCCCTAGGGTGAGTTCACTCAATCTTACAGCATGAAATTTAAGGTGATTCCAAAATTACAGCAGAGGTACTAGCTAAAAGCCCATAGGTGCCATGCCCGACAACGGTAGCACCCTCTCCTTCAAACTGCTGCCTTTTACGGCGAGCGACCCCCGCGTATGGTTTCGGCAGATTGATGCTGTTTTCTCGACAAACCGTATCATCAATGAACGCACCCAATATTCATACGTGGTGCGGAGTCTTCCGTTCAATGTCGCCGTTGATGTTGAGGGCCTCGCCAACCCGATTCCTGCCGAGGAACCTTACACTCGATTAAAGTACGCTGTGGTCCAGCATGTGCCTAAATCGGAAAATAGGACGCTTTGGGACATGTTTACGCAAATGGAACCCGGTGATCAAACACCGGGCGGTGGAGTACACCCAAGAAAAGCTGGCTCATCTCATCCCCTTCCTTTGATCTCTGATCTTTCTTACTCTATCATGACACTGGGCACAGGCGGGGAAGAGTAGAGTGTAGAGCAGCGCAAGTCTACTGTCGCAATATTCCTGCGCAAGTCACTGCCCAGCCACCACAAGCACCTGCTGTGGGACATACGGTTGACATCATCGGATGCGACGGTCGAAATGTCGTGGATGTGTTTGTGTGTGTGTGTGTTTTTCCTTTTATGTATTCCCTCTCCTATTTATTTCCCCCCCCCCAAATGTCCCAGGCTAATTCGTGTTGTTGTCTCAAAAACACAATTCCGTGGCCTATAGAGGTGTTCGGCAGCCGTCTGTGATAACCGGGCAGCCCTATTTAGGGGGTGCGCTGCCCGTCCCGCGAGGATGGAAGGGGCTAGAAAAGGTAACCTAAAAAGTGCTGGAAGCCACGCTGTCTGTAGGCTGACCGTGGCCGCATACAAGAAACACATGGTCGAAGAAGCCAAGACCGAAATATCATCCATCTCTTTCTCCACCTTCCTGCCTATTCTACTTCTTCCCCTCATTCTTTTCGCGGACGCCAGACTGGAACCGTGAGGCCGCTCACTCTAGCAGCCTGGAATGTTCGTTCCGTTTTAGACAATCCGAGGAGCAACCGACTGGAATGAACGACGGCGCTAGTGGCGCGAGAACTGGCGCGCTACAAGGTGGACATCGTCCCACTCAGCGAGACACGATTCTCTGATTAGGGCCAACTGGAGGATGTGGGTGCCGGCCACACCTTCTTATGGAGTGGTCGGCCCAGGGCAGTCGATGAGACGCGGCTGTCGCCTTCGTCATCCGGAACGACATCGTGGGACGACTGCCCTGTTTGCCACAGGGCATCAACGATCGCCTGATGAGCCTCCGTCTGCCTCTCCGGGTAGGCATATTCGCCACCATCATCAGCGCGTACGCTATGCCAATGACCAGCCACGACTTCGCCGCAAGAGGCAAATTCTACGAGGACCTGCACGCCCTCCTCGCGACTGTGTCAAAGGCGGACAAGTTGATTGCCCTTGGTGACTTCCACGCCCGCGTCGGCACAGACCATACTGCCTGGAGAGGAGTGCTGGGTCCCCATAGTCTCCGCGGCTCAAATGACAATGGTTTGCTGCTCCTCCGCACCTGCGCAGAACACCGCCTCATCCTGACGAACACGTTCTTCTGTCTGCTGGAGCGAGAGAAGGCCACCTGGAGACATCCTCGGTCGCGTCATTGGCACCTGCTGGACTATGTCCTCGTCCGGAGGCGAGATCAGCGGGACGTGCAGGTGACAAGGGCGATCGCGGGCGCTGACGGGTGGACCGACCATCGCCTCGTCATCTCGAAGATGCGTATTCGCCTACAGCCTCGCAGGAGACCACAAGGTAAGCGACCCCCAGGTAAGCTGAATATTGCCCACCTGCCACAACCTACGCAAGTGGAAATTTTGCGCCTCGACTCGGTCGCCGTGCGGCTCCTTTTGAACTGGTGTCTCACAACTGAGACTATCCACATACGTTCCCTCCCGTCTCCGGTCTTCTTGCCTTGACTTGACACCGGGCACAGGTGGGTGAGGAGGAGAGAATGTGGTAGATGCAGCGCAAGTCTACTCTGCTCAAGTCACTGTCCCCGCTCCCACTCTTCTGTGGGGCATACAGTGGACGTTGTCGGACGCGACGGTCGAAATCTCGCGTATGTGCGTGTGGGTGTGTGTGTGTGTGGTCCCCATGCGGCTTCGGCTGCTCGGGTGACTTGTGTCCGAGACTATCCCGACACGTCAAGCGTCGTGGATAAAAAGATTGCTGATTAAGGCCTGCTCTCGGTTCACGCAGTTCGTCATGTTGTGTGTGTGTTGTGTGTAGTGGCGGACTGGTGGGCTAGGGACGAGCTGAATCAGCACCTTCCACGGCACCCTCACGCAAGTGAGGGACACGCCGTTCAACCCACGCTGTGTGAAATCCTGGTGTTTGTGTGTATGGGGGGCCAGGTCGTGCCGTAGCGCGCGCAGGCATGGTCAGTCGACCGTGTCAGCCACCGTGCCCATTTCCCACTCTAGTCTGCTGTCCGGCTCGGACAGCGGCTGGGTTGTGGGAGTGGGAAGATAGATTGAGGTCGACGACTCAGCGCACTTTCTCCTCACTATAATCGATCTGACGCGCTTGAAGCTATCACGGTGGCTTGGAAGGTTGCCAACTGACGGGGTACCTTGGACCTCCTCTTTCACGGGAGGCGATCTGAGAGTCAGGCTGCAATGGCTCCTTTTTAATGTGGCCTTAATGGCACTCCCACCACAGTGTGGGATCCGAGCCAGGCGTTGGCGGCACGCCTAGGTGCGGCTTCGGCCGTGCCAGCCTCCAAATCTCTGTTGTTGGTTGAAATCCTGGTTATTTGTGTGTGGACCAGGGGGTGCGGAGTGGAGCGCCAAGGCGAGGATCCGTCCGAGCCATCCACCTGCGGCCTCCCTCATCTCCGGTCTTCTTGACTCTGTCTTGACACCGGGCCCAGGCGGATGAGGAGGAGAGAGTGTAGGTAGATGCAGCGCAAGTCTACCGCCACTTTAAACCCCTGCGCAAGTCACCGTCCCTGCTCTCACCGCTGCTGCAGCTGTGGGGCACACGGTGGACATAATCGAAATCGATGGTCGAACTGTCGTGTGTGTGTGTGTGTGTGTTCCGTACACGCAGATGTGCTCTTCTCAGCACTATGAGCCACCCCGATCAGTCTCTGCATCAGTTAAGTGACCGGCTTGGACAGTCGACTGGTGCACTGGATAATGTGTAGTGAGTGACGTCAGCTCTCAACGCCTAATTCCTCCTAATAAAAGGTCACCGTCGTATCAGACTATTACGGTGCGCTAAAAAACCTTTGACTTGAAAGGGTACCAACTGGTGCTTCAACTCTGGCCAAGCAGTCAGTCCAGCTGTGTTTTTGCGTCAGGCAGATTTCGAAGGGCATTACAATTTCAGAGGAATACTATTAAAAGTATTTGAAGAAACGGACGTTCAAATATTACCCCGGTCAGTCAGTGGGTTGCAGCCCAATCTATGATTAACCAGATGGCACTATCTACGTGAGAAAGCTGCACGGCTGCATATGCCGCCTGAGGGTGCCTGACGCACATGCCTGTGGCGTGGAGGCCTGCAAACCAGGCGAGATAAAATCGATCGATCGCTCGGTTAACGCGCCGTGCAACATCGATCGCAGTGCGGGCATGTGGCTTTCGGCAGATGGTCGAGCACTTAATGCCATTAGAACCGCACCTAAACTGCCTCGAGAGAATGTCGTCAAACTGAGCCGATTGAGACGGTGTGCGCCATCGACGCGCGTGTGCGTCTTCGAGGGCCTTCACACCGCCAACGGCTCGGGAGCAATAACTACGTTGGCCCATCTTTGCTGCGTATCATATTAGCTTAGTGCACTGATTTTGTGTGCAATCAGCTGTGTTAAAAAAAGTAAACTACCTTTGGCTTACAAAAACGTATTAAATGTGTCCTTTCATGTAGTTCGCATTTTAACCAAACTTGTCATAATTCCTCTATGAAATTCAACTGAAATGTCATTACAACACTTGCAACTGCTTTGCGTTTCCAATAACAGTTATGGGGTAGCTGACTCTTCGGCCTCTCCATTCTTATTGGTCATTGCCATTTGGCCGTTATTTGCTGGTGGTAATGGCGGATTGTTGATCACGGTCGTCGAGTATGTGATCGATCCTCACCATATACGCCACGTTTAGCCATTTCTCTTTCTGTCAACAGGTCTCTAATACGATTGAAACGCAGGTGGTCTGCACTAAATCTGCATTCTCAAGTCACAACATTTTGCTAATTATTGTGATTACTAGAGAACTTATTTTATATGCGCACAAGTCTGTGGATTTTCGTGCCCGAAGCTATAAATATAGTACTATCGGTCTAAGTATTATAAAGCTGACGGATGACTCCATTCTAGACAGCGGATGAGTGTTGAGGAAAACCTATTTGGAGGAAGTGAATAGCCAGCCTTTAAAGGCTGTGAGAATACGGGAGAAAGGGTGATGGAACATGTTTAATGGCGACTATTGATCTTTTATACCAGGCATACTACTAAAATACGACGATAGTTGTTAGAATGCTTGATAATAAGCGGATGCGCATACAAGCTTCCGGCCTCCTATTCCATAAAAATGCAAGAATAACTCATTAGCACTCTGAGCAGTGCGAAGCGTGAATATATTTCGGTAAAAGATAGGTCCTGTCGGCACCTCCTAAATGCCAGATTTAGATACTGAAACAAAGAAAGCAAAATTACTCAAGCATCGTAAGTTCGGAGACACGAATATGTCCGTCTTGTATGCTCGAGAAATTATCATGTGAATTACGAACAGCTGCGCGGCATGTGGACGCTATTATTATTTACAGGCGTCCGATAGTGAACCTAATGCAGCCTATTCAGTCTCCGTCAACGTTTTGCCAGAAATTTCAATTTGTAATTATTCGTTTACAAAAATGAAGCCGAAGGTTGAATGGGATATTTTTCTTTCTCCAGTTATTGAGTCTGTGTTCCCGCATCAACAAACAATATTTGGCAACATTTGGTCGTCAAAGATATTCCTAAGTGTAATAACAGATTTCAACATGATAACATCATTCCTTCCTAGGACGAAAGCGGCTTAATACAGTAGTTGCATATCTCGATATTTTGTAGTAGCAAACAGTTTTATCCCTTTTTTACAATAATACAGTTGATTTGAGAGTAACTGTCAATCCTAGTGCGAATAAGAACAACTGGTTTGTGTATGTAGATATCTGTACATTTTTGATTTCTCATTGGAAACTTTCTTGTACACCTGAACTTTTCTGCACAGTTGTTTAAATAACCGAAAATACACACAACTGGTTTCGACTTGAGCTACTGCGTGCCTTGTGCCTGACTGCTGCGTGTTGTCAATGCTTCATTCATTGCGGTCGCGCGTCCCAATACCTTTAAGCTAATTTCCTTGTGACATTTGTATTTCTCGGTCATATCCCGTCGGACGAGAATTCATCCGATCAACAAGTTTCGGTAACTGACTTCAGTTGGAAACATTATGGACTTTACCCGGAGCATCCACTCCACAACGATTAATATTGGAGGAGGCATCGTTTTCGTGAGTCTGTAAAGTTATTTTCTTTTGCCATTTCTCCAATGTTTTACTATCATTTCGTCCGTATGAAACACAGCATTCCCCACTTAGAGTTAAGTTTTTGCTGTATCTATTTTTCTTTGTAGTTTTAATTGCCGTTTACACTACAAAAATGGTAAACCCGTTTTTGCACATTTTCACACACTTATATTTGCCATGACCGAAAACATTAACACGCTCTCCTTCAAACTGCCCCCATTTACGCCGAGCAACACCCACGTATGGTTTCGGCAAATTGAGGCCGTTTTCTCGACAAACCGTATCATCGATGAACACACCCAATATTCGTACGTTGTGCGGAGTCTTACATTCAATGTCGCCGTTGATGTTGAGGGCCTCGTCAACCCGATTCCTGCCTATGAACCTTACACTCGGTTAATGTACGCTGTGGTCCAGCGTGTGCCTAAATCGGAAAACAGGATGCTGCGGGAAATTTTAACGCATGTGAAACTCGGTGACCAAACAGCGGGCGGTGAGGTGCACTCAAGATAGTCTGGCTCATCTCATCCACTTCCTTTGATTATACCTGAATCGCCAACTAGGCTAATGGTCTCTCTCGTTTTGCTTAGCCGTAAACTATTAAGTGCGGATGTGATGTAAGCAGAGGAATTTCAGCAAGATGTGAGGTGCGTTAACTAGATGAAGTGAAGAATTTTCTTCCCTTTCATCTGTGAAAAGTAAACGAACATTATTACCGACAAAGACTAGGGAGGTTGGAATGGTCCTTTCTGGTTTATTTGCCGCCGTCGGCCAATTATCCACAACTTCGAAGTGAAGAACACACAGTATTCGACCCCGCGACCTGTTACTTCGAAGTCTAACGCCTCTTAACACTGATACGAACTGGCGATTGAAAAGAAAGGGAATACAAATACAAACCTCGTTCTTCCCCTCTTCGAGGTACCGAACAGGCCCCTAGGATGAGTTCGTCCAATCTGACGGCTTGAAATGTCCGTAACACCTTTGCCAATCCAAGAAGCAAGTGTCCAAAAAGAAGGACGGCGCTAGTCCATCGGGAACCTGCGCGTTACATGTTGGACACTGCTGCTCTTGCCGAGTCACAGTTCCTCCTGTAAAGCCGAGTGGTTCAGGTGGGAGCCGGTCACACCTTCGTCTGGAGGGCCACCGAACGACAGAGTTTTTTGACACATGACATTCGAAAAGCCATTGTGAACCTGTTGTCCCGACCGACACAGGATGTCAACAAGCACTCCCTGAAACAGCGCTGGCATCTTCGGGATGACACGTTTGTCACTATCGTCAGTTTCTACGTCCCCATCCCCCCAAATGACCAGTACGAACGCGACGCGGACCAGGATGGGGTGGCACTTCGTGAGGATGTACGATGTATAACTACCCAAACGAAACAGGGGTCATGCGCCAATAGCTACTCAACGCTGCGTGCATTTTTTTCTTCGTGTCCACGTAAACGGCAGCAACTGAAAACTGTGGACAACTTCGCCTATTTTGGTAGCACCATGCAAGCCTGCATCGAAGCCGACAATGAATTGGCCCACCGGTCCCAAAAAGCAATCCCTCTTTTTGTCGGCTGCAGAACTTTATAGTTTTCATCTTAACACTGAACTCCTGACATATAATTTAGTTTTTTGGATTGCGAACATGTATGGTGCAGAGAGCTGGACCGTTTGCAGGAAAAAACGTGGAATCGCAACCCTTTTCATCTTTGTTGTCTCCTGCAGTTTATCAACCAGAGGTGCAGGGCGAAATTCTGGACTTGTTAGACATCCAACCCAATGGAATCCTCAGCAATCACGCCATGTAAGGGCAACTGCAACTACGATGGGTGTACGATGAACGACAAACAAAACAGATGTGCTCCCGCCAAAAGGATATTCAATGTGATTGCAATTGAAAAAGAATTCTTGGGAAGATCGAAGTAAGAACTGACCGGTTTTAAGAAGGAAAGTGAATGCTGGAGCAGAAACTCATAAAACCAACGGGAGTGAAGCTACCCAAGTTAAAAAGTAAGTTCCTGAATCTCAGGCTTCCAAGATCATTAAAAAAGTACGGGACGAGGCATGTCGTGTGTGTGTGTTTGTGAGTTCTGTTTCATGTATGTTCTCTCCTGTTTAGTTTCCCCCCACTAGAGTTTGGCAACCGTCTGGGAAAGTCCTATTAAGGGGGTTTGCTGCCCAACCACGTCGTCTGATGTCTGGCCGTGGCCGCAGACATAAAAACACACAATCGAACCAGCAGAAACCGAAACAACACCAATATCTCTCTTCCATTTACTGCTATTCTTCCTTCCTCGACATCTTGGGACGACTGCCCAGCCTGCCGAAGGGAATCAACGATCGCCTGATGAGCCTCCGTCTACCTCTCCCGCGTGGGGGCAAATTCTCCACCATTATCAGCGCCTATGCTCCACCGATTAGCAGCCCCGACGCTGCCGCAAGAGACCAGTTCTATGAGGACCTGCACGCCCTCCTGGCGACTGTGTCGAAGTCGGACAAGTTGATTGTCCTCGGGGACTTCAATGTCCGCATCGGCACAGACCATGCTGCCTGAAGAGGAGTGCTGAGTCTCCATGGTCTCTGCGGCCCCAAAGACAACAACCTGCTCCTCTTCCGCACCTGCTCAGAACACCGCCTCATCCTGACGAACACGTTCTTCTGTCTGCCGGAGCGAGAAAAGGCCACCTAGAGGCATCCTCGGTCGCGTCAGTGGCACCTGCTGGACTATGTCCGCGTTCGGAGGTGAGATCAGCGTGACGTGCTGGTGACAAAGGCGATCGCGGGCGCTCACGGTTGGACCGACCATCGCCTCGTCATCTCGAAGATGCGTATTCGCCTACAGCCTCCCAGGAGACCACAAGGTAAGCGACCCTTAGGTAAGCTAAATATTGCCTTGTTGTCTTTTCCCGCTCACCATCTCCATTTCAGCAATGAGCTAGACCAACGGCTTGACAACCTTCCCATCGCCATCCCTGCCGTCGACGCCGCCGCTTCCTTGAACGCCTCCGTGGAGAACCGCTGGTGTCAACCGCGAGACACGGTCCAGTCGACGGCGCTTAACGTCCTCGGATGCGCACGCCGCCAACACCAGGACTGGTTCGACGACAACGACGCAGCCATCTACAATCTGTTCGCCGAGAAAAACCGCCTACACAAAGCCTACGCAGACCACCCCACTGACGGCAACAGAGCTGATTTCTACCGCAGTCGCCGCCACCTTCAGCAACGACTGCGCGAGACGCAGGACGCCTGGACTGCTTGAAAAGCTGGGGAGATCCAAGGGTGCGCGGACCGCAACGAATGGAATAACTTTTTCTCCGCTATTAAAGCTGTCTACGGTCCGCCGACAAAGGGCACTGCTCCTCTCCCCAGCGCCGACTGCAGTACACTCCTGACTGAAATACACAAATTCTACAGCGATGGGCCGAGCATTTCCGAGGCGTCCTCAACGGCCCTTCCACCATCTCCGAGGCCGCCATCGCCCGCCTGCCGCAAGTGGAGAACAACGTGAACCTCGACCTTCCGTCATCTCTCCAGGAAACCATCAGGGCCGTGCTGCAGCTGTCCAGCGGGAAAGCACCCGGATCGGACGCGATCCCTGTTGAAGTCTACAAGAACGGAGGTCCCCAACTGATTAATCACCTGACTGCGTTTTTCCAGGAGATTTGGCGTCAAGGTGAAGTCCCGCAAGATTTCAAGGACGCAACCATCGTGCATCTCTAGAAGCGAAAAGGGAACCGCCAAGTCTGCGACAATCACCGTGGCATCTCCTTGCTGAACATCGGCTGGAAGATCTTCGCTCGCATCCTTCTCAACCGCCTTAATAACCATCTCGAACAGGGCCTTCTGCCCTAAAGGCAATGCGGATTCCGTCGTCATCGTGGGACCACGTATATGGTCTTTGCCGTCCGTCAACTTCAGGAGAAGTGACAGGAGATGCAGAACCAACTGTACTCTACCTTTGTGGACCCGACGAAAGCATTCGACACGGTGAATCGTGAAGGGCTGTAGAAGATCGTGCAGAAATTCAGTTGTCCGGAGCGATTCATTGAGATGGTGTGTCAGCTGCACGACCCAACGGAGCTGTCTCAGAGGTATTCGCAGTGACAAACGGAGTGAAGCAGTGATGCGTGATGGCGCCCACCCTATTCAGTCTCATGTTTTCTGCCATGATGATGGACGCCTACCGTGATGAGCGCCCCGGGATCCGCATCGCCTACAGGACGGACGGTCACCTCCTGAATCAACGGCGGATGCAATTCCAATCGCGCGTGTCCACAACCACCGTTCACGAACTTCTCTTCGCCGACGACTGCGCCCTTAACATCATCTCGGAAGAGGAGATGCAACGGAGCATGGACCTGTTCTCCGCCGCGTGCGAGATGTTTGGGCTGGTCATCAACACGCAGAAGACGGTGGTGATGCATCAACCTCCACCCAACACAGCCACTCCTCCCCGACGCGCCGCAAATCAGTGTGAACTGCACCCAACTGTAAGTGGTGGAGAAATTCCCGTACCTGGGCAGTACCCTCGCCCGCAACACCAAGATCGATGACAAAGTCGCCAACAGGATCTCGAAAGCCAGTCAAGCCTTCGGCCGCCTTCAAAGCACAGTTTGGTATCTCATGTTCTTTAACTGAGCACGAAGCTAAATATGTACAAGGCCGTCATCCTACTGAGGCTGCTGAGACAATTTCGGCTGCGCTGGAGTGGCCACCTGATGCCGATGGACGGCGAGCGACTACCCAAACGACTCTTCTACGCAGACATCGTGACGGGTTCTCACCGCCAAGGAGGCCAAATTCGTCTATAAAGGACTCCCTGAAGTCCTCCCTGAAACGTCTGCAAATCAACCCGACTAACTAGGAAGAACTCGCACTTGAGCGACCGACCTGGAGGAGGACAGTGAAAACAGGTGCTGCGATCTACGAAGCCAACCGCATCGCTGCCGTCAAGTTGAAACGCTAAGCCCGCAAATCACAACTTCGCCTAGTCTGGAACGCCGACGCACAACCGCTTCCAACGTGTCCTCGATGCCAACGGACATTTAGGGCTCGAAAAGGACTTGTTGGACATCTCCAAATCAAATGCGTTCTCGAACTGCACAAACAGTCGTCCCCCGGCCCGCCTTATCCTCGTCCTCTATGCCGCCAACTAACTCTGTCAATTCTTCTGAAACACCACTTCCATCCTCCTCCTCCTCCTCCTCCTCCTCCTTCTCCTCATCATCAGCATTTAACTCATCCTCCTCCTCCAACACCTCCTCCTCCACCATCACTGCCCCAACGACGGTCGCCCGGCCGGCTGTCTCCCACATCATCAACACTGACACAACAGCCGACACCGACCCCAATTCCGCCGACTCCAGCGATGAGGATCAGGACTACATCTGCCCTTACTCCGACCGTACCTTCACCTTGCACATCGGCCTGGTCAGTCACTTGCGAATCCATCGCACAGAGGCTGGCGAACCAGTGCCTGGATCACCAACCTACACACACCGCACCCGCCTCCACTGCCAACACTGCACTCGCACCTTTGTCGAAATTAGAGTGGTTGACAAGATAAAAGTTCCCAATCTAAATTCAGGGACGACGGAGTGAGTTGGACAACCTTTACCTGACTGAAAGTGCGTACACCAAGGCTCTGTGGGCAGTCGCCGCAAGCGCGCTCTCCAGGCAAGTAATTGTGCGTCCGCCTTCGAGGTGCTGAGTCCCAGCACGATGATAGCAAGGTTGAGGGTAGCAGACAACAATGCGCTTTGGAATCCAGTTTCTGATGCAGGACCAACTGTTTCCAGTGCGGAACTCGATTGAACGAGTCTGCAAGCTCAGGACTAGAAACAAAGCGTTATGGTGCTAGAATCTTCTTCTTCACTGTTGGTTCGGTGTGATCACAGAATGAAAAAAAAACTTGAGTTAGGAGTTGGTGCAGATAGTTGTTTTCGAAATTGTTTTCCTCATCAGCGAAGCTCAGATATTTCGCCACGTGATTGGAATGATTGAACTACGATATTCAAACGGTTATATTTGAAGTCAAAAAGCCAAACTGCGTAATTACCGTCTGTTCTGTTTTAACAAAAATATTATTAACAAGGAGGATCAGCATATGACCTTAAAATCGGCTCTCGATTACGCTTGAATTTTGGGCTAATTTCCAGTGGGCTAGCGTGCCCTGTTTAGTGGACATTGTTACTCTTTAAGCATAAAATACGGTATAAAGTAATGGTATACCCGACTGCTCATTAACAAAGGCGCGGCCAATTGCCTTTTCTTTGGTTTAGCTCCTTATGAGCGAATTCGCACCCTCGGTTCAGGCTCGCCTAAAGAAGATGGGAATATTCGCTGAACTAAAGAACTATTGTCCAACGCACGGCGAAGTCTCAGTATTTGCCACCTCGTTCCCTTAAAGCAGCATATGTACTCTGCAAGACACCATCTAATGGCATCCTATGGCGTTATTTTTGGGAGTGATCTTCCGGTATTGCCTAAAACACATTTCACCTCTGGTGGACCAAGTTAGGAGCAAATAACATGTACCCCATTGGCTTCTCTTTATCAGGACTGATTGCCAAAGTGGTCATTCAACGGATAGAACACTTGATGTTCAGCAAGTATGAACCAAAGTTCTGGGCTCATTACGTCGACGACACTCTTGCCATTGCAAATCATCTGACGCAGAGCACCTCAAAGAATTACTGAACTCTGCTGGCCCAAATACTTAATTCGCTATCGAAGCTGAAACAAAAAACCAACGTCCCTTCCTCAAATTCTTTGGCGTCAGTGTGCCACTGGAAGTTGCAAACTACCGTGTCTATAAAGGCCACGACGATGTTATCCGCACTTTCAGGCGGACTACCGCAACTTCAAACGAACAAATCCATAGGCTACCGAAGTGATGCGCATTTTTACGAGCGCAAGCCAGTAGGACTACCAGCCTTCTGTCGGCTTGTTCGTGACTGTCCTTCTTCTAAGCTAAATGCCGTTCTGTTGAATTTGTTTGCTCACCGCTTATATTTCAGCAACCAGATAACCTAGAGAGGTATGGGAAAGCTCTGTATCCCATCTCTCTACCCTACCCCATCCCTCCCCTATTGCACGTTGTTGCAATAGAAGACAACAACGTTCTCAATGAACAATTTGTCCCAAAGTTTCCGATAGCATCGTGTTCCATGGATACCTTCTGCGAGTTCGGCCATGTTCAGGGGCCTGGCGTCACTAGACTTTCTATTGTAGTTAAAATTAATATGCGGATTGTCTTGCTGGGTTGGAGTTCGGGGGAGACACGGCTGGTTTTGCAAATCGACGGCGGATATGATGGCGTCAGTGCACGACTGACACTGGCCATGAGGACGATGCGGTTTCCATGAGGGGGTGTTTGCATTGCCATATTGACGTTCGGGTCTGAACACTGGTTCGAAGCCCAATTAATGTGCTGACTTATCGGACGTTTACCGAAATTCCGGGGTGTATTTTCGACTCAACTACTTTGCTTGAGTAGATTCAGAATATTATTCAGCGTGCCGGGAAGAAGTGCCTTTAAAAGTCGGCATGCTGAAGTGACTGAATTATCATAGTATTATGTTGCACGATGATTAACAGTCATGCGCTACTTAATTAATATTTTCGCGTAAGAAGCGCATGTCAGGTTTTCGGCTGACATTCCCGTAGAAAGCACATCTACTTCAATATTCCGCCAATTCTTCTTGCCGCCTTATCACTTTTCCTTCGGGATTTTCATACCTACTTAACCAGGTACGGTCGGCATTCTGCCACAAAGTGCATAAGTGCGTGTCATAAGCTCCTCCTCAAGTAAGAGTGTCGTTCTAACTTAATTAGCGATCGATTTGAATAACGCACTCGGTAACATTTGACTGTTGTTTAAAGAGGATTGCGCCCATCGTGGTACCGCTAGTGTCGGTGTCTAAGACGAACTTCCAAACATCTCTTCTAGCGTTAGGAAAAGCTAAAACTGCGATGAAAGACAATTGAGCATTCGGCGTTTGGAAACCACTTGCAAAATCAACGGCGCACCTTGACTTGACGGTTTTCTGAGTGAACCTGTTGCCCGGGTCTGCTACGTGATTATTGTTTTGATAAATATTCTGTAGTAGGAAGCGAGGCCTAAAAGCTTCGGACTCCGGCCACGTTTGCCATTATCGGTCACTCACAAATTCGCCTCAGCTTTTTATCATCAGTTATTTTTTTTGAGGCCTAGACCATATACCCCACGAACTCGAAGCGCGGCCTTATGAAGACAGAGTGCAAGGACGTTAGTACTCTTGTAAGCTGTCGTAGACTATCAAACACAGCTTGGATACGACTAAGATGGCTGTTGAAGTACTCATTGAGGGCAGTGATGAAACACGCAGTCATACATCAACTTGTTGAACAGCTGCTCAACTGCGTACGAAAATAATTATATTTTTCTTGGTAATTGTTCCAATTTCCTTTTCCAAATTTTATTTTGCTGATTTAATCTTAATTGATTAATTTTTTTTCGCGTAAACATGACTTATGTGTTCAGGTTAGGAGACGTTAATGGTTCAGTGAATGAGGTTGACCCGGTTGGCATGAATACTCAAATGTTCAGCATCTCCGTGTTCTTTGAAAAAGAATGTTATTTTCCCTAGCGCCATCTTGCTCTCCATCTGCCTTTTCTGTCTAAACTTAATTGAATGGCATCCGCTATTTGCTGAGAATTTTGGCCAACGTCCTTCAGCAGTGTTCTGATTTGTCCCGAATGGCAAACCAATATCTGCATCTAAACACCAAACGAATGGGTCTTCTTGGGGAGAAAAGGAATTAAAATATGCTGTTTGTTTCAGTGCAGGTTTTGCAATTAGTAGTGGCAATGTATTTGACCGTTTGGAGCCTTGACCGCTTATGATATCCTGAGATTAGTGAAGATATAGCTGTCTAAAAATAGTTTCGATGTTTTGCCTCAAAACTTGGTACACAGTTACCAGATACGAATTGAACTCTGTCTGACCCTTTTAGTCGACTGCCAAAGCCAGGTGCGTACCCAGCCGTAGTGTTTGTAAGCGCGTAATTGCTATGTCATAAGTCACGCATAGTTGACAGTCAGAAAGTGTTTTCTGCCAAATAGTATCCTTCTGAATGAGACAACATGGAGTTTTTTAGATTGTCAAAGGCTTTACATCCACAACTCGATGTTTTGGGGTTTCTCCAGTTTTTAAAAAGCAGTTGCGACTTTGGATGAAATTGTCCTGTTTCATGTTCGTGTCACGTAACATTGGATCGCATCAATTACTGGATTGGAGGCATTGGGTCCATCGTGTTGAAAAGCGCTCGGGTAATGCAAACCCTGATAGTCTTATTTAAAGTATCTTATTTAAAGAAGCTGTAAGCGCACACTTAAATTCTACAGGGTCTACTTTTCTGCAAATATAAATGTCCATTATGACTGGGATCATGCAAGTTTAAACAATACATAGAATACTGAAATCCATGGAATCAGCCATTGGATAAACTAGGCTAATATTCACACGCGTAGCGAGCTGGCGTTCTGATATTTATATAATATGCTGACGTTCATTGACAATTTACTTATTGGTGCAAAGTAATTAAGAAACAGTCCGTTGGGTAAGATCTATGTCATATGTATGGTGTTATCATTTCAGTTTTTTGAATTAGTGTAAGACGCAGAAAACCATTTTATTGAGGGGATGTGACATCCCTGATGTCAATTCACATTATTTTCCGTTTTTGCTACAAAACGGTGGTTGCCAGTTGGTGCGAAAGTGGAAAACACGACTTCTCCATTGGTCAAGCCATAGCTGGCTAGAAGGTGTAACTGCCAAATTTGGAATAACAACTAGGAAATCGTGGGGGCAGCAATTAAATTTCAGGCAGTAGGTTGAGGTTCGGTGTGTACAGAGAGTCTGCAGACTCGCTGGCATTTTCGTGAGGTTTCTCTTCGGTGCGTATTTCTGAGGTCAGTTGCGAAGACCGCCTGTTGATGCAGACGAAAAGTGCAGGCATATATCTCTGGCAGAGAGAGGTGCATTAGCTCAGATCAGACTAATTTGAAATAAGACGCTCTCAAGGTTAGATAAAAAGACGAGGCAAAGTGGAAACATGCAATATGGGGCGTACTGTCATCAGAAGTTCAAAAAAACTTAGCTTCGATATAAAATTCCTGTAATCCAGACCAGTTGGCATTCGAATTGGGCTAACCCAAGACATTGAAAAGAACACGTAGCTTAAAGATGACGAAAAGAAGAAGAACATTATCCCTGATAACAGTCCGAAAGTTCGCTGTTTCACCGCTGTAAGAATGGGCACGAAGATTGGGCCGATGCGTGACAAAGCTGCGAGGGGTTCGGCTATTCAGTGGGACCCCCAGCGTTCTCTATGCGCTTTCTGCTATATGAACTCCAGGCAATAATCAAGTGAATAATTTCAGAAATTACTCAGCGAAGAACTTGCAGTTTAATCACCGAGACATGACGCTTTAGGGTCAGAAGCGAAATTTCAATGAATATTCGAGTAGAAGAAATTAAGCTGCTGTGGAATAACCAAATAATGCCAACTCTACAAACTAGTAGCATTACGATTACTATGAAATCAATATGCCATAG